GGCCTGTTTTTATATAAACACACACTAACAGAATGAGCAAGTATTACTCAAAACTGGTCATTTGAGGGTGGAAGGAGTTAGAACACAGACTGGAGCACAATATGCAGACAGAAAGTCCTCTTCAATTAGTTCTCTAGTATGAAATCTGAGAAAGAAGATACCTACTAAGAAGGGCTCCTGATGGCTAACTGGGCTTGAATTTTTAAAAACAGTGTAACAGCCATTTCTACACAGGGGCCTCTCATGCAAAATGCACATCAGAGAAAAGCCTGTACTGTGTTCCTGCCATCTAGCCAGCTCTTATAAAAAGGAATTCCTGGGATTCTCTTTCAACCTATAGGACTGAGGCTGTCTGCATCCATTCAGAGCTACATAGCTCCAACAAACCAGGGCAGCTCCTTTCTGACCAACCAGAACAGTACCTTCAGGCCAATCAGACTGTGAGGATTTGGAGTCCTCATTCACATGAGGAAGGACCAAAGGTGGAGACTCCTATCCAAAAAAACAATCTCCCGTCCCGCTCTGGGAGCACACTTTCCATTTCCACTGAAGACTGCATCTTCCAGGCTGAGTTGAAACACTGAAGGTATCTCATCAGAGCAGAACAGACCAGCACAGCACAAAGTAGACTGGCAAGGAACAGAGCAGAACCAACCACTGAGGAGCACGGTAGAGCTATGTAGCCAGAGAGGGGCCTGGCTCAGAGGCTGCCAGGGCTGTCCTATGGTCTTGCTGTTTTCATAGTTGTGCTGTATCACAATTAAGACGTTTTGCACTGAATCAAGTTTTCTTCTTCACCACACCCAAAACTGGGGATTCCTATTGGCATCAGATTGGCAGCCATGACCATCTGTTGACATTTGCTTAGGAATTTTTCACTTTACCATGCATTATTTATTTAACATAGAAAAATTATACAAACCACTTCTATCTATGATTAATCATTATTATTAATAAAATATTGTTTTTTTAAACGTAACTTAATCTTTTTGATATAAGAAACCACACCAAGATTTAAACAATAAATTATAGAAAAATGCGTACCATGAAATTTATGAATCCCTTTCTAACTAAAAGAACAAAAAGCATTATGACAGTTTTCTCTATATTTCACAATTAAGGATACATAAAGGAAATGAGTCAGATATAATACATTAGAGGTTTGCAATTAAGCTCTGAAGTGTACCAGAAATTTCAAATATTTGCATAAGCTTACATAAGCCTTGATGTGCTTTCTCAGTATGAAAATTGAAATTCGGTTGCTTTTCTTCCTTCCTCACACCCAAAAAACAGCAGTTCATTTACTATAGTGTTTTACATGTCAAAGTTCTTTAGGGACAGGCACACACAAAACTAACCTAAAATTGGAAAAAGCATCTGAGAACTTAAAAACATTCATCTAACATCTTCAGTGATGTTAGATGTTCAGGCCATCTTTGGCCTGAAAGCAACCAAAGTTCTATTTGGTTCTGCTGTTGATGAAAATCAGGCTCTTTCATGGGACCACAAGGAAAGCATTTCAAGGACCCACACATGAGTATGGCCAGATGGTTTATTAGTGTGAAAGGATGCCCCTGGGTCCCCTCTCTGTCTCTCCCGTCATATAAAGTCAGGACCAGAAAGAGTGAGTGTCCAGAGATCCTGTGTCATATAAAGCTCATTTCAGTTCAGCATCGGGCTAGTTTAGCTTCTACTTCTGACTGCAAACCATTGCTATGCTGAGGTATTCAGGCTCCCACCTGGAGCCTGTGAGTGGAGTCTTTGCAGCCACTGACCAGACAGCAGCTAAGTCCACATGGCTATGGAGAGAGGACACACGAGTGAACAAGGCAAGTGCGGGTCATGAGCAAGAGAGGGAAAGAGAAAGAGAAAATGTGTCCTTTGTTCCCCAGGGATTATATTAGCTTGGGTTTGGGATGGACTGGATGCTTTTTCAAAAGAACCGATCAACTTCCCAAGTTTACATGGGCTTTTTGATGGGTCCACCCCCGTCCCCCAGCTAGACTGGCAGGATTCTATGGTCCAGCACCTTCCCCTGCACCCCCCAACAATCTGATACCAGAGTGGGGAAGGAAGAACTATTAATCCCCTTGGTAGAGAAATGCTGTAATCCCCTGGGTTGTGAAGCTGTAGCTTCCTGGTGAAACAAACAGGCTCATGCTCCCCAGTTTATTAAACTCAATGTCTAATTCCCTTTGCTCTCCTAATAATATCTAGTTAACTATCTATGGCAGCAGTCCCCAACCTTTTTGTCACTAGGGACTGGTTTCATGGAACACAATTTTTCCATGGACCGGGGTAGGGGTAGATGGTTTTGGATGATTTCAGCACATCATGTTTATTGTGCACTTTATTTCTGCACTTTATACATTGTAATATATAATAAAATAATTATACAACTCACCATAATGCAGAATCAGAGGGAGCCCTGAGCTTGTTTGTCTGCAACCAGGCAGTCCCATCTGGGGGTGATGGGAAACAGTGACACCTCAAGTGTCAGATTCTGACTTAAAGCCTGCCACCAGATGCAGCTGTATAATTGAAGTACATCAACTCACTTGCCACTATAAAGCCTGCCACCTCAGGTCATCAGGCATTAGGTTCTCATAAGGAGCATACAACCTAGATCCCTCACATGTGCAGTTCACAGCAGGTTTCATGCTCCTATGAGAATCTATTTCTGCTGCTGATCTGACAGGAGGCAGAGCTCAGGTGGTAATGTAAGTAATGGGGAATGGCTGTAAATACAGGTGAAGCTTCCCAAGCTCACTCAACTGCTCAGCCACCACCCACATCCTGCTGTGCAACCAGTTCCTAAAAGGTCACCGATTCAGTACAAGTCCAGGAATTGGGGACCCCTGACCTACAGTATCAGTTCCACAGTTATCTTGTGTTACTCACATAGTGTCTCTTAATCAACTTACGTATTAAAAGCCCAAGTACTAACGGAAACTAGAATCAAAGGGCTACAATACTCACTATAGAAAGAAATCCAACAAAAAGAAAAATAAATACTGGAATCAAGATAGTTTAGAAAGACACCCACAGTCAAAAAGGTGACTATGATTACAAACAAGGGGTACAGACACCCCTAGCTGAGACAGAACCCCTGGAGGGGAAAGGATGGGAAAGACACTGAGCAGCCCCGGAACTGAATTCTGGGAGCTCCATACACCTTCCCCTTTCCTGTCAGCATAGAAGTGCTTTCTCCCTCAGGCTTCCATTCTCAACGTGGGGAAACTCTCAGCCAGACTGAGTTAAAGTTCTGACCACATGAACCCCACTATGAAGGTTTATAGACATTCATAAACCTTCTGTCTATAAGTTGAAACCCCTGATCTACATAGACTTTCTCAATATGCATAAATTAGACGCTTAAGTCGACTGCATTGGTGATGGGAAATTCATACATAAGATCTAAAAATGTTCAGGCCTTAGAAACCGCAACCTCAAAAAGGGTATCCCCACTCCCAACCCCATGTATATTTGCATCTCCAGCTTTCCAGGGCTATAGCTTCTCTCAGTGTAAAGGTTCCTACATGGGGGGGGAGGGGGTACGAACAGGTAAGGTACCGGTAAGAGGAGGCTCCCCAGGAACAACAACTGAGCCTTCAAGTACTTCCCTTCGCAGCCTCAAAGGAGTCTTAGCTTGGGTCACTGACCATAGGTTTCTGCTCCCATTGGAGTTGCTTTGGACCACTATTAATATTTTAAATGACACAAACCCAGAATTTGAACAATCCAGCAAAATCACTTAAATAGAGCATTTATATGGAAAGGGAAAAGAAAATTTTTAAGGGTCTTTTCCCAATTCAACTAGAAAACCCCAAATATCTATTCCTTTTAGTAAAAGATGTCAGTTAGTTATATTTCTAGAGAAAGAAACTGGTTTGGAAATAATTGATCATACTTGAACACATCTACTCTGTAAGTCTAAACGCTGCAATTTGATTTGAAAACCCCCCAAAGTGAAAAACAGACCTCACACATTTACAACACATGCTCAGCAGAAGAAAGATACAAAAATGAAATGCAATCACGAAACCTTTTTAAAAATTCATGCAAAAACCTTTTTTGCATGTCTGGAACTATTTATATAGTCTTTCAAGCTCTAAAATATACCCCTATTGAAAAACGAACACTTAAGCCACTAAATCTTTTCAAGGTGAGAAATCCAGAGAGGGTCTTTGCTGACAAGAAGAGATCACCCAAGAAAATCTCCAAACAGGAACCTTCACCCAAAGAGTTCCCCTAGGATGTCTGTGCCCAGGAAAGGTCCTCGCCGGAGAGGACCAGGATTGCATGGAGCAGAGTTCCAAAGGGTTCTTTTTGCCTTTCTTCTCATGTAAAACATCCACAACAATGGGTAACTCTAAAATAAAAAAGGCTAACCACGGCGCTGCGGGGGCGGGGGGGGGAGGGGAAGCATTGAGTCTCTTTGAAAGGTACCACGGAGGACAAATCGTTGATAATGATGCCCTGACTCCCAGAGGGAAACTTGGCTTTGGAATTCGAGGAGGGCGGTTGCCAGTCACAGCACAGACAGTCGTGGATCTGAGGCAGACCCTGCTCCCCAAACATCTGGAGAAGTCAGGAGAAACCGGGTCCCCCTGAGGGAAAGGGAAGAACCGAGGGCCCCACGGACCACAGCTGCTTCCACGCACAAACCCTGCCGCCCCAGTCACCACGGCCCGCAGACGACCACCCCTCCCCCATGGTCATCGCACCATCAGAGGACAAACGCTGCTGCGGGTGCACTGCTGCCCAGATAGTCTCAGGACGAGCCGAAGTGGCCGCAGGCAGTGACGAGACGGGACACCCAGGGTCCCCGCGGCTGCCCCAGGCCCGACGCTCCAAGCCGGAAAGGAACGAGGTCCGAGCGTCGCCCCCAGGGGACTGGAACCGGCAGACGCCCGAGGTGCGGCGGGAAAGCCGGGTCCGAAACCGCCGATTCCGACTGGCACCTCCTCCGGTCTTCGAACCCCCGCCTGCACACTCACCATTTCTAGGTTTCCTGGGTCTCCCTGAGTCTTGCGCAGGACTCCCAGGGCCAGTGCGGATCACAGAAGACACAGGTTACGAACATTCACCAAAATCCTTGGCGCGCACGAGACCCGAGGTCTGCGGCACCTCCGAAGGGAGTTGCGCTGTTCCAGACTTCTGAGCGTGGCCCCGCCCACCGGCCCCAGCGACGTCCCTGATTGGACAGTTCACAAGGCCGCGCCCCCTCGTTCCTGAGTGACAGCTAGAGGAGAACCCGGGTTTTGGGGAAACACTTTTTCCCCAAAAAAAGTGGTGGGTGGGAATCTGCCTCCAAGTGGCGCCCTAACCTTTAAACAGAACTTTTTCCGGGCTTGGGGCTGCCCAAGTCGTTTTCACCCAGCTCTGTGTGACCGCTAGGTTACTTGGTTGCAGATGGAACAAGAGTAGACAAAAAGGGTTAGGCCAGGTCTTACTGAAGCAAAAATGGCTTAGGTTGTGATAGGGAACTCAAGAGTTGGAAAATTTTAGTTTCAGTAGTAGCTAATAAGCTTAGCAATCAATGCACCTAAAAGCTATTGTTCCAGGAACTGAAGGTATGACCCACCCTGACTCCAGGAGTCCATAAACAGTTCCACCTTTGTGCCTCGGGAAGACTGCAAGAAATTCAAGATGGCATCTGAGCCATCCTACTCCAGAGTGAGATGATCCCTGCCCAGGACACAGCTAAACACCACCCTCCAGGGCAAGAATGCTACAGTTTTTTTAACCCAATTAACTTTTCTCTGATTTCCAAACCCCTTACCTCCACTTTGTTCTCCTTATAAAAAGGGCCAATTTAGAATGGAATTTAAGATGGTCCCTTAAAGGAATTTAAGATGGTGGGTTTTTACTAACCCACCGTGTACTCTGATGGCCCGCCATCTGAATAAAGCTCCCATAAAGATTCAATCCCTGTCTCTGCTTATTGGGCTGGGTATGTGATCGGGAGCATGGACGCCAGTCTTTGCCAGTTTCAGTTGGAGTGAGGCTGTGAGGCCCCGTGACCTTCGTTTAGAAACGCAGACACTGAAAAGTGACACAGCATTTTTAAATAAAGTCTGGCTCCACCTTCATCTTTGATCATTGCAAGCATTGAGCTTTGTACCCATCCCTTCCCCACTCCTTTGGTCCTAACATTGTCAATGAAAAATACATCCAAACCTGTAACAATTTACATGAATTTCTTTGAGCCAAACTGACAATCGCCAGGAAGCAAAAATTTCCGGGGATTGAGAAAATGCCCCAGAAAAATCATAGTTTTATTACTTGTTTTATACATTATAATCAAACGGGAAGATGTTAGAGGGTTACATAAAATCCACTGGTTATAGATTAGGGAGGCATGAGAAAGCAAAGCAAGAAAATCTCTGGCACTGGATAAAAAGTAAAAGAAATAGACAAACTTTACATAAGTGGGTATAGGATAATTAACAGTTAATAACATGATAATAATGGTAACAAAGAGAGGATTTGTGGACTCTACTCTGATTGGTGGCTGTGTTTTTGTGACAGGATAGTAAAAAGGTAGGCAAATTCTTGGACAAGAGAAATAGGGAAACCGAGACCAAAAAAATTAAACAAGGCCAAACAGTTGGAGCAACTGCAGCCAGCTAGAAAATCACAAGACCTTATCTCCCCTAACCAAGAACACCTGAGAGCAAATGGTTTCTACCTCTTCTCCCTAACCGAGGAAATCTCCCTGTTTTGGGAAATAGGGAACAGAGACCCAATTATTATTATTTGTGCCAGCTAAACCCATGGACAGATGAAGTCAGGGTTACAAATTTTTTAAAAAATTAAAAGCCAGACAGACACAGGAGGAAAGTAAAACAACATAGTAGACCTAAGACTAATCCCGATACCCCCTGCCCCCATATACTCATTTTTGAAACTAGAGAGCAGACAAGGCTTGTGCTACCTGTCACCACCTGGCCAAGAAGCAGAGAAAGGGATTGGATTATAATTGTGCTTTGATTAATATCAGAGGCTAACAGTTTTAGAAGCTGTCAGGTTAAAACCATAACAAACATCTTACATTGAGTTTTCAACTGGGGTGCAGGGGGATTTCTAGGGGAAGGGCAGGAGGTCTATTTCTCTTGGGAGGGGAAGCTGAAAGGGAAATCTGCAGCTTCCTATACTGGTTCCTTTGCTCCAGTGTTACTGAAACAGGGCCCACCCCCCAAAGGGTGCAGCCAGGGCCCACCCCCCAAAGGGGGATTTGTAATGGGGTCCAGAACTCAGGTTGTCCAGGAAACAATAATATAGGATGTCCTCACTCCCATAAGTCTGAACTGGGGGATGGGACACATGGAGCAGGGCCATTGAGTTATTTTGCATATCAACAGTTTTGCAAATAACCTCTAGAATGGTCATTGAATATATCTATAACTTTTAACTGGTTTCATAGATATATTAAATAACTGTGGCCTTGCTTTGAGACAGGGACATAGGAGTGACTTCCACCCAGGATGTAATTGAGAGGCAACTCGTCCTGGTTACAGTGCCTGCATGAGAGTTGGAGATGGTCATTCTATGCCACAGAACCATGTCTGCCCTGACTTAACGATGGCAGCCCAGAAAAGCCAAAAAAAATACAGGAATGCTGACAGGTGTAGCTGACTGTGGGAGGAGTTGGAAATAGGGATGCAGAGGAAGATTCAAACTGGTATTTAAACTCAGGCATGCAGATCAGAATCATGCAGCTTTTGACAGATTTGGAACCAGGAAGGTTTGGAACCAGGCAGCTTTGGGTGCTCCCTTTGCCATATAGTTTAGGAAGCAGGAGAGACCTTGCAGGGAAGGAAAGGGGTGAAAGGACTCTTGCTAATGGTCCATAAGGTACCCTGAGGTTTTAGATTAAGAACTGGGGATCCTGGCAGCACAGCTGACAGTGCTGGGACCCAAGAGAGGCCTACCAGCCAGGCACAGATGACTGGGAAGAACCAGGGGCTACCTGGGTCACACAGACTTCTATTTATTTTCCTGAGATATGGTACCCAGACTGGCCTGACTGGGCAAAGTGGGGAAGGAACGACTGTGTGTGTTTGTGGGTATTTTAAGGGATTTGGGGATTTTAACAAAGACATTAAGTCGTTACTCTAAGTCTGTATAACTTTTTGAATAAATAGTTCCTTTCATTTTCACCAGTCTCTGGTATTGAGAGCTATAACTCTGTGGCAGCAGTCAAGGCAAACCTAGTACAGGGGGATCCTGGGAAAAGGGGGATCCGTTCCATAATAGTATGTCATCATCCTCCACAGGTCCATTTTGTAATATTATCTCTGCTTGCAGTAGAATTTCTCTTCTCCTCCATGGAAACCTGTGGTTTATGGCCAAGGAAGTTCTGTATTCTTTATACAAGTTTATCAGATATATAAATTTTGCAAAATTTTCCTCCATTCTGTGGGTTGTGTCTTCACTCCCTTGTTTTAAAAGTTTAATTTTAATTGTGGAAATACACACACAGGATAAAATGTACATTTTCAACATCATTAAGTGTACAGTTTAGTATATGAAGTACAATGATATTGTGAAACCAATCTCTAGAACTTTTTTTATCTTTCAAAACTGCAACTCTATATGCATTAAAAAAAATTCCACCTGTTGAAATGGAACTCTCATGGAAAACCCCTGCTGTTTTAATATTATTCTATTCTATTCTGTTTTAATAATACTCCATTGTTTTTCTATATTTTATTTTCTGCTCTAATCTTTATTATTTCCCAAATTCTGCTAACTTAAGATTTAGTTTGTTCTATGTCTAGTCTAAATCACAAAAATGACCAGTATCACCCTCTTCTTATTAATATGATTCACTGGGCTTGTTACAAATTAAAATAAGCTCCAACACATTGTTTTTACCTTGTAGTAAACAAGTCTTATGACTCCCAATAATGTAAGTTTACCTCTTTATGGCATTCAATATGCAAACACATGTTTGTGCCTTTAATAACCACCTAATTATCTAAAACAGGCAAAATCCTATAAAAGCCCTGAGCAGCCTTTTATGCTATGCCCCACAGTCATGTGCACATTGTGGTCATGCTTATCACAACTTGTTGTGCTCCCGTCTTTGACGCCACATACAGTCAGTCACGCAGGTCACGGGTTAGAGGACACTGAAAAACTGAGTTCAGGTTTTGGTATCAATGAGTGTCATGACAAAAACTGTAACTATAAAAGAATAAAACACAAAATGTACCTTAAAAATTATGTGAAATTGAATGCACATGATAAAAGTGAAATAGTGTACAATAATTAAATCAAGAGATTTGCAAACTTTATTTTAAAATTTATAATTATAATGGAACATATTAACATTAAAAAAAACCATTTGTCAGTATACAACAGCCTAGAAAACGGTTAATAAAATATTTTCTAAAAGACCTACAAAAGTGTTCATTTAACAAAAAAATACTTGGAATTTAATCACATACAATTGAACGTAACTGAAAACATACTGAGGGATTACATTCAGCTACAAGTAACAGGAGACACCCACAGTCTCCCGAGAGGAGGAAGGCCCTGACTCTCATAGGATCAGGCCAGGTCAAGGCACCCACTGCACACGCAGCACAGAAACACTGTCCCATATCCTTTTTCGCAGTTCCATTGCAGATGTCACATGCCATCAGGAAAACATACTCACTATCCCTAGTGACAACACTGTATTTCTACACAATTTAGATTTTATACAGATAAAATCTAAAGAAGAGAGGAATCAGACATAAGCATGAAGTATGAACCAGTTTCCTGATGAACACAAGAGGGCTTACAGAAAAATCGAAACTCTGACACATCTTTGGTGTGGAAATTGTAGAATTTGTGAAGAAATCAGTGTAAACCCACGCATCTCAGAAAATGGATATCGAATAGTTGGTGGTGGTGTTGAGGATGGTCTTCATCAGAAGGTCAAAGAACTCAGTTATGATGGGCTGAAAGATATTTTCAAAGATCCAAAGTATTTGTATGTTAGTCTGAGTGGTGGTCCCAAAATCTGTCTAATGCCTTCTTCATATATGCCTTCCAAATCTCATGCAAGTGAGGTTACTAAGGAATTTTAACATGGACTATAAAGGAGATGGATTCTAGAAAACTGGGGTCCTACCATTACCAATAAAAGAGAATC